AATGCCGCCTTATTGGGTGGCAGCATATATGCAAACCTAAATCTGAAGGTGGGTTGGGCTTTAAGGATCTTCATATGCTAAATAAAACTTATTTAATGAAGCTATGTTGGATATTAGTCAATTCTCCTTCTGATCTTTAGGCTCAAATTCTAAGGCATAAATATAACTATAACCTTAGTAATAATATAGGTTTTAAAATACCCTGTAAAGAATCTCACCTCTGGAAAAACCTCATGATGGTTTGGCCTCAGTTTGCTAAAGTCCTAGGTTGGTTGGTTAAGGATGGTTGGTCTGCTAAATTTTGGATTGATTGTTGGATTCCTAATTATGATAAGTTGGTCAATCTTGCTAGTGTTCCCATTTCTGAGTTAGATCTGGATTCTCGTGTGGCCTTGTTCTTTACTGGGGCTTGGGACTGGAAGAAAATTAAGTCTATCCTCCTTGACTTAGTCTGTCAGTGAATAGCTCAAGTTAACCTTCTTGTGAGAATGAATAGTTTTGATTCTGTATACTAAAATTTATCTAATAATGGTGTTTTTACTCTTAAATCTGCTTATCATTTGCTTTCTCAATCAAATTCTCTTGCTAGTAATTGTCTGTTATGTAAAAATCATTATTAGAATACAATAATATTCTTTATATAAAATCACTAACTAGCAAGTAATAAAATTTTTAGAAATCAATATGAGTCCAAAATATCATCCACAATGATCTTATTTTCAATTATCACTTCACAAATTGACAATTAGTTGAGCCAAACAATTCATTGGAAGATTTATAACATGTAAAAAGATGATAAATAAGAACAATAAAAGGTAATAAAATGCTGTAAAACATAATACAAATTTTATATAGAAAATGCTATGTGAAAAATAGTTAGAAATTATTTTACCAGATTTTTAATTGTAATATAATCATATTCTGGATTCTTGAGAATTTTAATCGGTTGATAATCAATTTTACTTCTTTAACCAAAGGACAATTCATTGCCTCAATGATCCTAATACCTAATTAAACCTTCCTAATTCCTTAAGTGAAATTCAATCAAATATTGCATTAAGTTCTGGAAATTATAGGATTACTAAATTATGATACTTATTCCTAAGATCTCAATAACCTAGGCATATGATTCAGATCTGAGAAATAAACTCAATTTCTATTGATGAAAATTCCTCTAAGTTCAATTGAATGAAGGATTAGTTCACAACTGCATTAAGAAAAGAATCACATACTCAATTCAATAAAAATCTCAAGATCCAAATCTAAAATTACATCACAATATCAAATCTAGATCCATAAATCCCTAACCAAAAGGTTTAGAATAATATTACAGTAGAAGAAAGAGAAGTAAGAGAAGAAGAAGACAAGGAGCAGAAGAACATCTTCCAAGACTCAATCTTCACCCTGATTAAAGCTTGAAAGTCACTCCAATCCTTCTCTCTGACTTCCCTTAGAAGTTAAAACAGTTATAAAGTGAAAAAATGAAAAAATGATCAAAAGTCCCTAAATCTGAACTCTTAACTTTTATTTATAATGTTTTTCCACCCTTTTTTACTTCTACACTTTAATCTCTGAGAATTATATCATGAAAGGTCTTCTAGAAGCTTCTACAACTGAAATAGGAACTCAAATCGTCCAAAGTCGACACTTAAAAGTGATTTTCAAAATTACGTTATTTCGCATGGACACTTTAAGTGATAAGAGTGTTCACGTGCAAGTGTTCTATATGGAAAAGCCTCACGTGTAGCTACTCTCAGTGCATAGAGTGGAGACACACACTTTGCATAGCTACTCTCAACGATTAGAGTATACACGAGCAAGGTTTTTTAGAATTTCTGCTGCTGGAGTGTTCACTTTCAATACTCAGAGTTGCTAGTCACTTGGTCTTCATGGATTTTTTTTCTTCAAAGTATTAACTCTATGTATTCAAAGTATTTACGCCCAACACTTATCATCTGATTCTTGCTCTTTTAGGCTCAATTCTCTTACTTTTTTCACTTCAATATCAACTTCAAATTCTCAGCTCAAGCTTCTGCACAAAATTAAGTCATTTTAAGTCAAATTGTTCAGAATTGGAATAAAATCTAAAATTTTAAACTATTTATACAATTATGAATATTAATGTAATTTTTATGGTATTTCCAAATTTATTTGGTACTTTAGTACTTATTTATTAACAAAAACTATACTAAAAAAATGTAATAAAATGTGGATTTATCACTGTCAAAACTTATTTAAAAGTGTTTGGATTTGGAAAGGGCTTCCTAAGTTTGCCTTTCTCCTTTGGAAAATTGCCATGGTAAATTCCTTACTAATAAGGAGAGAGAGAGAGAGAGAGAGAGAGAGAGAAAGTTAAGAGAGGTATGTCTGAGTCTTCTACTAGCCCTAGGTGTGGAGAAGGTCATGAATCCCTTATGCATGGTTTAAGAGACTGTCATTTTGCTCAATTAGTCTAGAATCACTTTTTTAGATCAATAGGTCCAATTTTTTTAGCTTTGGTGTATCTGCTTGGCTTTTATCCAACTTATCCAATAGTTGCATGAGAAACTTTCATAATTGGCCTATGCTATTTGGTATTCTTATTTGACATATATGGAAAGATACAAATGAATCTATTTTTCAACATCACTCGGCCTTGCCTAGCTCTCTAACACATAAGGCTTTATTTGATGCTCTTTACTTTTATAGTTGTTAGAGGGATAATTCTTTGGCCTTGTCCAAAGCTATTGCTGATCATGGGAAAGTTAGATGGATCATTCCTCCTACTAACCAACTGAAGCAAAATGTTGATGGAGCAGTCTTAATGTCTAGTGGCTCTACTATGTGTAGAAGTCTTATCTATGATAGCTGTGGAAACTTTATTTCTGGGTTCCATAGTAAACTCAATCTCTGTTTCCTCTTTGGCTACAGAACTTTGGGGCCTTTATCTAGGGGTTTAGCTTGTTGTGCAAAGGAAGCTTCATTCCATTTGGATAGAAAGTGACTTCAAGGAGGCTTTATCTCTCATCTTATGTGTTCAGCTTTTTTCCTACCCCCTGTATTCTTTAATTTCTTGTATTAGAAACTCTCTAAGGGATATAAATTTTGTTAAGTTTTCCTATGTTTGTAGAGAGACTAACCAAAGTACAGATGCTTTAGCTAAGATAGAGTTAGATCTCCTATCCCCTTTTAATTTAAGGATCCTTTCCCCTTTCTTTTCCCTTTCTTAAACTTGGATGTTTTTAGTTGTTGGTTTTCTAGACCTCAAACGTTTGAGGTCTATTGTGTGTTGAATTGCTAAGTCCTGTTTATAAAAAAAAATAATTATTAAATAAATAATTAGTTAAACTATTTAATAATCAAGTCTTTTCTTAACTTTTTAACATTTTGTTTTATAAAATTAGATTCTTCAAATATATTTAAAAGTAGTTTATTTAAAATAAAATTTATTAATATTTATTATCTTAAAATAACATAAGTTAACAGAAAATGCTAGTTGATGTGATTATAATTCAATTCAAAGAAAATATATTATTTATTAATTATCCTTACCGAATGTTGTTTTTCCTAAAAGAGCACACAAATTAACAAGTATGGTAGTAAGAACTTATTTGTACTTCAAAGAAAGAGTTTGAATATCTATTGTGGTTTTCATGATAAATAGTATTTTAGTGTGAGTGTTATGGTTTTTTTTTTTTTTTCCTTTCTTTTTCGTATTAGTTCTGTTCATCTCATTAGTGTTTTGAGGAGAGGATTGTTGGAATAATTGGGAACTAATTAATTACATTATCAAGGAAAGTAGGAAGCCAATTTTGAATTCTAGATTTTATGCAAGTTATTGCATGAAAACTATTGAGAATATCTAAAAAATAATTACAGTTAAAAAGAAAAAAAAAAGCAGATACATTAAGTTAAAGTTTTAAAAAGTAGTTGATAAAGTGCAATGAGTTTTATTTATTTTTCTCTTTTAATAAATGATTCTATAAAAGCACTGATGAATTATTTAACATTTTGTTTTTCATTTAAGAAATTTAGGTCTTTTAGGAGAAACAAATGAATTAAAAGATATATAGACACATCAGATTTTGAGAAAAAAACATATGAAAATAAATTAGGGAGTAATATGTGTATTGTATGAATATTTTAGAAATATTTCAAGAGATTACAAATGTTAAAATTAATTTTGCATGTGAATAATTTTATTTACGGCTTGAAATTTTATCATGTTAAATTAACTTTTTTATTATCAATGTTAATGTAACTTATGACTTTCAATTTTTAAAATTTTCAAAATTTGTCTATATGTTAGCTGCTTATATCATTTTAATATGTTATTGTTTTAAAATATTTTTATAATATTAATAGAGGTCATTGTATATGTAAAAGAATTTTAGTAATTGATTCATCTATCAGGTGTATAATCTAAATCAATCTAAATTAAAACAGATAAAAAGTTAAAAAAATTATTAGTAAATTGAAATGAAAAGAAGGAACTGAAAACAAACATATATAATATTTAAACAAAATCGAATTTTGGAGTAAACAAATCTAAATTTTAACCAGCACTGGTTTAGAGATAAAGAAAAAAAATTGAAAGGCTTTTCATTGGGTTAAAAAACTGCAAGGACGCGTGCCGATTAGATAAGAGATAGACATGTATAATATTTATTATATTAATTTTATATATTTAAAGTTAATTTTAAAAATTAAAATTAGTAAATGAAAGAAAAATGTTTTTTTTTTATTAATAAGACTGAGTTTCAATATTACAAATAATATCTCTTATTAAAAATTATTATCTAAAACTATAAAAAATATTAAAAGATAAAACTCTACTCCTCCATACTTGCTTTTTACGCGCAGGGATTGACGTGTACGTAAAATTTAGCGACAAAAGAGAAAATAAATTCACGTGACAAAAAATAATAGAAAAAGTAATCTAATCCATCAATTTTTGGTAAACAAAATTGATTTTAGTAGGAATAAAAATAAAATAATGAAATAAAAGACCTGAAAATTGGTCATGGTCAGCGATTAACATCTCTAACTTCTGACCACTTCTGAAGTTGTTTTATTCTGAGAAGAAAGAGAGAAGAGTTGTGTTGTGGATCGAGTGAACAGAACCTAATGGATGAGATATTGAACAAAGTGGGGTCATACTGGTTCACCCGCAAGGCCAGCAAGGAGTTTAACTCTGTCGGTGATGATTTCAACGTACACATTCCTTAACACCCTTTTAAGCTTTTTCTTTTTTCTCCTCTTTTATTTGGTAAAGTTCAGTTTTTGTTTTTTGTTTTTTTTTTTCTTTCCATCTGGTTACTTGAGTTCTATTGTTCTGGCTATCATATCTGTCGCTATTGAAAACATATGGAATTATAATTTCTTGGTTAATATTTGGTTCTTGAATTCGGTGAAAGGGTTGAAATTGAAGGGTAATTGTTGATTATTCATGTGAATGAACAAACGCTGGCATGCCTTTTTGGGATACTATGAAAAAAATATGAAAAATTTACATGGGGAAAGCTCTTTTCTCAGGGAGGAGTGTAAAAAACGGATTTTGAAGGTTCATTTATGTGTGCTAAAGGAAATTTAAGTTGGTATGGAACGAGGAAGGTGTAATATAAGTTAAAAACATTGTGCATCAAGTGAATTTGAGGTTTGGTTTATATAGAGTGGGGTACCCCTTTGAAATAAAGCTGTCACTTTGATCAATCTTGGTATGAGTTTCGATGACAACGTAAAACTGTCAAAGTCTTAGGTGGTACCTCGTTACTGTGATTATAATTCTCTTCTTGCATATCCTCAGATGAATTTCCTCATAGGTGTTACTGTTGGTTCAATTTCCGTTTTTGGATACTTGGAGTTCAAATTGAATACAATCACAAGTATTTAACAATTAATGTTGAGTATGGGTTTTCAAATTCTCCTGCTTTTGTTACGAGGGATATTTTCACATGAATCATGGGGAAGGTAGCATGATATTCTTCCTTGCTGATTAATCAACCCATTAACATTGGGATAAATGTAACAGATTAGCGGTATTTACTTTGGTTTGGAAACACTGCAGTAGAATTGTAAAGAAACACAAACTATAAATGTTTAAGAAATGTTCTATATGTAATAGAATATTTTGCGTCTGTTGTTAAGATATTTAAGTTTTGAATTGTAGATGCTAAAAGTAAACACTAAAGGTTTATGGTTGTGGTATCACACTTTCGGGCTCTGAGATTTTGCGTTGATTACAAATTTTAAATGTATTATTTACATTTTTGGTGAATCGTAATTAGGCTGTAGGCCTAAGAATAGTTGAGTGAGACATGGGCGTCGGGCCCAGGGTTATGGGTCAATTCTCAGCATTGGTAAATTAGTAAGACATTTCTTTTATGGTAAGGGGGACATGAGATACGAAGTAAAGAAAGACATTTTTGGAGGAACAGGTAGCATGAATGTCTAGTAAGAAAATTAAGATTGGGAATGGACAGAAGGTCTAGAAGCTTTCTTGTGTGAATAAGTTGATAACATTTGTGTGGAAAAAAATTGAGAAATTTTTGCTCTGTATCAGTGACTCAATGGAGAGATGCATCCTATGACGGTGCTGTAAGTTTTGTTCAACCATGTTAGAAGTAATGTGAGTGTCACAGATTAATAACTATCTAATTATCTAAATGCATGCTTAAAATTAGTTTTGATCCTGATAGGTGTTTGTTTATTTTTCTTTAATGGAAATTTTGACTTTTAAGATCTTCAATGAATATAGGCATAATGTGTTGGCTTGTTATTGGCTTAGTTCTCTAATTCTGCCTGCTTTGGATAAAGATCATAGGAGATTTATTTGATATGAATATTAGGGAAGGTTGATTTATTCGAGTCTGTAATGTTTTTTCCAGTAGACTACAACAAATGTTGAAGAAGACATTTAATTTCTTCAGAAATGTTTATATTAACACTTTTTCCTTTGATGATTAGTCACTGTCAACCAGTATTGAGGGGGGAACCAAATGGCTAGTCAACAAATTAAAAGGTTTGTATCTCTATAATATTTCTCTCATATGTATTGGTCAAACATTGGTTGTACAAATATAGGTTCTGATATCTGTGCTGTGTGGGAATTGATTTTCATTTGAGCCTATAATCCCTGACAATAAATGCTTTGAAGCTTCAATCTGCGCTTGGACCAGCGTTTAAGGTGGTTCTCCGTGATGATTGAACTGGACAGAATTTTAGAAATATAGTACTTTGAATTGTTTTCCTAATTTTTTCTTTTCCTGAGGATGCAAGCAGGGGTTAGTTGAGGTGGGATTGTAGTGTAGATCGGCATACATACACTTGCATTGCTTTTCCAGAAACTACTTTTTCTTATGCTGAAGAACAATTCAATTAAATACACTGAGTAGGACTTTAAAACACTATGAACTGGAATTATTATCAACCGTGCATTGTAATGTATTCATCATCATGTATTACCAAGTCATCTTGTGCAACAGATCCTCTGAATTTTGATATTTGATCATTGCTTAGGTAATGTAAGTTGTGGAAGTAGTTAATTTATGTCTGATGTAGCACATACAAGTTACATATTGAATTTCTTAGTATCCCACTTTTATGAATTTTAAAAACCTGTCGTCTCGAGTATGAGTCCCAGCAAATACAGTTGTGCTAAAGTACTTAAAGGGAGAGTTTTGTCGCTTATAACGGTTTTATTTGTCTCAAATAAATTGTTTCCAGTAGAAGATATCTATCTATGGTCTAGACCAAAAAAATCTGCTAAACCCCTCACCCTTTCTATTTTGACTAATATTGCTGTATAACTAAAAAAACATACTTCACAGGAAAGATGCAAAAGTTGTTAACGGAGCTGCTAAAGGAATACGATCTACCCATAGGACTCTTTCCTCGTGATGCAACAAACTACGAATTCAATGAAGAAACTGGAAAGCTTGTTGTTTACATTCCTCAAGTGTGTGAAGTAGGGTACAGGGATTCATCAGTGGTGCGTTTCTCCACTAGTGTGACTGGTTATTTGGAGAAAGGAAAGCTAGCAGACATTGAGGGAATGAAGACCAAAGTGCTGATCTGGGTAAAAGTGACTGCTGTTTCGTCTGAGGGATCAAAGCTCCATTTCACTGCTGGCATGAAGAAAACAAGGAAAAGAGAAGCATATGAGGTTTCTAGAGATGGTGTTACCGTAGATAAATTCTAACCTGTTAACATCCTTTTATGACTATCTGTACAATGATTTGTCTGTTCTTGTGGACCATTTTATTCTATTAGATATGAATGTAGTGAACTTGGCATTTGGTGGAACTCCTCTTGGGGCCTGGTTGTTGATCAAGTAGTTTTAATTTTTTTGGTTTGGGTTTCTGTTTGTTTAACCTGTGTAACATTATATATAATAAAAATTATATTAATAAGTGTTTATTAATTAAATATTACATTTTTAATAAAATTTATTAATTATTAATTTTTTATTATGTGTAAATTTTCATAAAGTAGAAAACATAACTTTTTCAACAACAGAAAAAAGCGAAGAGTGAAAAATGGACTTATTTGCACCAGCCGGGAATCGAACCCGGGTCTGTACCGTGGCAGGGTACTATTCTACCACTAGACCACTGGTGCTTGTTTTTATTTAAATTTTAAAACTTCTACATACTTATGATAATACATTATATTTATACTAATCTATATTGTATATTTTTAGTTTTAAAAATTTATTAAAGTCAAATATATCAATTTAAAGTAAAAATGTTACCTTTTCATTCCCCCCCCTTGTAAAATCCTCTTTCTAGACTATTCATAAACGAACCATTCCTTGATATACAAATGACAGCAATCAAGTAGCTCAGGAAGGCCACGTCCTAGGGCAACTGGGGTCTTTGCAAGATGAGAAATAACCCGAACTCTTAAATGTCAAAATAATAACATTCTCTCTAATGATTCGATGCACTTTTAGATATTCTATGTGTGGTGTATTGTGTCCGTAGCACTACTTTCTCTTCTTCAATCATTGTCAAAAAGTGAAAAATATTTTCCAATTATATCATAACATTCTGCATCATATACATAGGACTCATATCTTTTGAGTAGCATCACCACGATCCTATGTACAAAAGCACAATAATAACTCAAGATTTGTATCTAGTCACTGCTTCAGTTGGTTGCCCTCATTTCCAAAGGCTAATGATAAGATGCCAATTTATTGTTTTTGAATTTTGTGTACACTTGAGCTATCATTACGTTGCTGAAAGAAAGATTTTGATGCTTCGTAAGTGGACCAACAGATTGCAGCTGCAGGTGCATGAAAAAGCATCCTAGGGATGTATCCTCTCATAAGACCCCGATACCCATCCTTTCTTATCACACTTTGAATCACATGCCCAATTGAACTACTAGAAAATTTGTCACACCCACATACACCCTGAAAAATAGAAAACCAAAAATAAAAAGTAAGATTTATCGTTATTTGTATCATAAAATTAATAAAAAAATAAGTAAAAAAAATATATTAACAGTAAAATTTGGTTTAATAGAATTAAATAAATAAAAAAAAAATTATGTTACAATATTTTTAAAAATTAAAAATCAATTAATTTATTAAAAAATTTGGGAAGTAAGAATTTTTATAATTCTTTCTTTCCTTATCGTATCGTTCATCTTATCTATTAATTCGTACCTGACACTGCAACTGAGTCTTAACAACATCAAGAGGGGTTGTAACAGCAGCGGCCAAAGCTCCAGCAGCAGCACCAGCCGTAGCATGAACAATCCATCTTTCATCATCCACACTCTCCGCCGACACCTCCACCAACCCCTTCTTCGCCGCCTCATACGTCGCAAAATGCACCGCCGTGAACGGCGCATTCATCACCACCGTCGTACGGTACGACGCAAAGAAAGCCCCAACCCCTTCTTCCACCACCACCCTCTTCACACAATCCATCACACCCTTGTAAGGACTACACTTCAGCTGCAACCTCTGCTTCACCACATCCATTGGCGTAAACACCGCATCACTCGCCACCGTTGCACACACCCCAGAAAACGCATGCACTACCGAGTTGTTCTTCTTGTTCATGTTTATGTTCATCTTTTCTAAGGTTTCCTTGCAAACCTCGTAGACAGAAAAATAAACTGCATGAGCGGGTCCCGCACCGAGGCCCATTGCGGTTATGCCACGGTAGAGTCGTTTTGGGCCTTCGAGTTTTATAATTGAAGAGAGAGTTTTACGAAGGCCCAATGAGTGGACAGAGCTGGGCCCATTAAGGGCCTGCATGCGTGTCTTGAGGGTGTCTATTGGGAACATGGCGGTATGTTCCACGAAACCTGCTATGGAACCTGCTATCATGTATTGGCAGAAGTGCAAGTTGTGGTGGGTTGGTGAAGAAGGTAGTGAAAGTTCTTTGTGTAACTCTGTGGAAATGGTGTGGAAGTTTGGGGGAGTGTTTGTGGCCATTGTTGGGGTTCAGCAATGGAGAGGAATGGAGGGGCATATAGAGTGATTGAGTTGTGGAAATTGGATATCGCTTTCGGATTCGAATATGATGCCTTTTCGCCATGAACGAATCTGTGTTTTTCTTTTTCTTCTTTTTCTTTTGGTTTATCTTTTTGTTTCAATTGTTGAGAAAATGTGTAGTGGGACTTGAGAGAATAAAGGAAATGATAATAGCACGTATGGAAGGAGAAAGTAGTAGTCCAAAAAGCAATGACGAATCAAATTTGATAAATAATTAGGTTGATCATTTAATTATTAAGAAATGATAAAAAATTTTTTTTATTAATTCTGAGTTTAGTTATTTAAAAGTAACATTTTTTTATTAAGAAAACATATTTATTATATTAAAGTTATAATAATGTAATAAATATTTTTTAATAAAATATTAATATTACTAGTACTTAAACTCAATTCTAAATAGTTAAAGTTAATATTTTTTTGAAAAAATAAAAAAGGGTAAGAATATAATAGTTTCTATTTTATTATATATTAATATATTAAGACAATAAATTTTATATATTGTGTTATTTTATTTATTTTTAATTGAAATATTTATAAGATAAAATTTATATTAAAAAAATAAAATAAACCCATAAGATGTATTTATTATATTTTTTAATATATTATTTTATTCTTTTATCACAATCTTTTATATTTATTTAGTTAAGAGGAAAGAATCGGATATGAAGTTATTAATAGTGGGCAAGAAAAGACGTTAATGCATTGAAGTCCCTTTAGTTTTTATGTGAGGTTCAATCACTAAACAGCCCATAAACCTGAAATTCAAGAGGAATTCGATGGCCTTTTTATCTGATTCGTTAACAAAAAATTGCCCATAATCTCTCAATAGCAAAGATTAGCAATACGAAAGTCATATCTTTGAGTTAACAAAAAATTAAAGTCAGAATTTGACTTAGTATTATTTCTTTGCAATTATTTTCGTTTTCTTTTACAAATCTGCCCCTGAAAAAGTAAAAGAAAGAATATGCATTTTACTTCATTGCATGGATGACACATTGTAGATATGACTTAGCTACTATACCATATAGCCAGCTAGCCTTGGAGATGTCACAATCTTTTCTTGCTTCAGATATCTGAAAGATGCTCCTGCTTCTTTTTGTGTTTATCAACTTAATAGGAAATGAAAAAAAATATATAATAAAAAATAGGTGTTATTTAAATGGATAGAAATAGGAACTAAAATAATAATAAAAATTACTTTATTTATTTGGATGAATGAAAATGAGAGTAAAAAAATTGATAGTATATATGAAAAATATTTTATAATAATAATTTTATTTTAACAAAAAACTAAAAATTTTAATACTACTTTTTTATTAATTATGTAATTTTTAAATATCTTACAATATTTTTCACACAATTTTTTTTTATAAAATAAACGATAAAATCATGTTGATAAGTGATAAGAAATAAGATTGTAATTATATAATTGAATAAACAATTTATGTGTATTTCATTGTTGGAGAGGGAAGTTTTAAGTGAGGGAGCCTCTAGGACACCAAAATGCAATCTAAAACTTCAAGAGAATAAGTGCATAAGTACGTCTCCATATAGATCTCTAAGTTGCTCATGTTCTAGTTCATATATGACTATTTACACTTGATTTCAACATTCATATCTTCTAATTTGATAAAGAAAGAAGAGGAAACATAATAAAATTAGATAGCTTAAATTTTATTTTATTCTATTTTTTAATTTATAATTTAAATGATAGTTTATACATTTTTTTTTTTAAATCTATTCCCTTCTGTCAATTCAAATATATTTTTGAGTAAAAGAAAATTTCATGAACTTAAGGACACATTAAGGGGTGATTAACAACTTGATTTTTTTATGAGTCTTATAATTACTGGGATCAATATACCTCTGAAATTCATTTTGGTTAAAGATGATAATGGGTAAACAATTACCATACAATTATCATACTTGTTTATATAACTTGTATTAATATAGATAATAATAACTTTAAATACTTGTATATATTTTTGCTAAGTACTCATATTCGCACTCAGATTCATTACTTGCTTTTAAGTTAACTTAAAAATGGTTTTTCATTGTGTGTTTATATATAAAGCTAACATATATTGATGAAAAATCAACAAAAAAATAACATTGATTAAAAGAAGAATATGTAAATTAAATAAAAAATATTTAAAGATAATCCAACTACTAATTATTAAAGTATTACAAATAAAAATATTTAGGTTAATTCAAAAGTATTTAAAAAACTTTTAAACTCTCTAATTATAAAATATCATAAATATATTATACAAGTATGGATAGGTTTTGAGTAATATAATAATCATACGCAAAAATATTGTGAATAATTACTTGTATTTAAACCTAAACCTATTTAAAAGATAAATACCCTACTTATTACGGATTATTTTAAATATACCCATTCAGTTGAAGTCTAAACCCCTAATTTTGACTGAGTGAATAATTTCATAAATTAGGAAAAATCTTACCAGTATAAACTATCTATAATTATCAATTTCAGCAGCATCTCTTTATATATATATATATTGGTACCATAACTTCTTTAATCATCAGATAAAGCCTTCTTAAATACTATGGCATTTTCATGCGAACTTAACAATCCCACTAAACATGATTCCATAACATGATCAGCACATAATTTCAGCATTTCACATTAATTCTAAAAGCAAGTAATATCTTGAACGAAGGTGCTTTACTTTTTACAAATATGTGTGGTCATGATCTCTAGGTTTTTTTAATCTAAATAATACAATTTTAAAAATTAATTTTTAAAATATAATTTATTTAAAATTAATTTCTTATCTGGTGTGATAGTAAACTATCGGCCATCTTAACTCGATACACATCAATAACTTGAAAAGAAGACGATAGGAGTTTCGACTATCGCTGCTTTGTATCCGATTTTCATATAAAATAGTTAAATTAGATTTATAGGGATGCATTATCGAGTAATAGTTTGTATTCTCCCAATCGACACCAATCCACAAACAAAGGCTATACCTGGATGGGGACCCACATTCCACAACATCTCTCGAACAAAGAAACACACCCATTAAAAATAATTGAATAGAAAAATCGAGCCAACGCAGCAACGTTTAATCATAGAAGACCTCCTCGTTGCTTTACTCAGAAATTTACCAGTTCATCAGTAGAGAGCTTCAAATACAATAGATGAAGAGCATTTCACAAGATATGATACACCACGAACGTTACAACCCCTTGTAGTGATAAAAACATAAATGTTAAATGGTCATAATGCATTTCTCGGATTTCTTGGACAGAGACCGGAGGAGGCAGAGAATAAGGCTTGCTGGGAGGTTCAATAAGGGTTCCATTTTTGGATTTTTTGGACAAAGACGGGGCCTTCTATGGGGAGTATTGTTCCTCTTCCTTATTTGCCCATTCATTTTTTGAAACAGAGGTTCAATTTGGTTCCGTCCCTATGCAACAATCCTATACTTCAAAATTTAATCTAACATAATACTTTGCGTGTATGAATTAATGACCAACCAAGTAATTGACTATATGTCAGTATGAGAATGAAGCATAATAGAGGTATCAAGCTATAACATTCGTAAACCCACAACTGGGTAATGCTATATAACAATCGAAGGAATAAGAAATAGCGGCAAAGGAAGGATGGCATGGACCGTAATCACTACACCATTAATCTTCTACACCTGCGATATCATGTTAGACCATGAGATTAGGAGGCCAGGATAGATAGAAGAAGAGAATAGCAAGAGGAAAGGCAGAGTAGAGAATATAAGCAGAAGGAGATTATACCAGAATCAACTCCCCTTTCCAATGAATTCCTCCCACTTCTTATTTGGTTTCCTCTGCCTAGTGCTTCTCCTGATGCACTCAATATTCGGGTCTGCTACCACGTGTCCACCTCCTCTAACTAACTTTCCATTTTACTCGCTTTCTCCCCCAGCACGTTTATTATCCTTTTTTTTTTGTGTCCACCTCAGCATCTTTATTGGCCTTCTTCTCTCTGCATGTAACAAATACCCTCCCCTTTAAAAGGAACCTTGTCCTCAAGGTTAAGGTTTGGGTAAGTAGCTGCTATGTCTTGTACATCTTCCCAAGTTGCATCAGTGATAGCAGTGTTTTCCCAGTGAATCAGCGCCTGAGGAATCTCAGTAGAGTCTTGAATAATGGTTCGAGTGTCCAGAATTTGTATAGGACTGAGAATCGGTCCGACTTCCGCAGTATGCAGCGGCAGTGGTATGGAAGGTGGGGAAGTCTCACCCTTGAATTTCTTGAGGAGAGACACATGAAAAACAGAATGTATTTTAGCTCCTTCTGGTAGTAGCAGCTTATAAGCAACCGAGCCAAGCTTTTCCACAACTGGAAATGGCCCAAAATATCGTAACCCGAGCTTTTGGTTCTTGCGGAGTGCTACTGAGTGCTGCCTGTATGGTTGTAACTTAACTAATACCATGTTGCCGACCTGAAATCGGATGTCCCTCCTCTTCCTATCTGCCTGTTGCTTCATGCAATTCTGTGCTCTAGCCAGATTTAATTTCAATGTATCTAGCACTCTATCTCGTTGTTGAAGTAGTTCTTGGATGGTAGGAGAGTCGTTTGCTGCATTTTCGTATCGAATTAATGTTGGGGGCTCACGGCCGAATAAGGCTTTGTATGGCGCCATTCGAATGCTATGATGATATGAAGTGTTGTACCAAAATTGTGCTCAGGGTAAATGCTTGAACCAAGCTTTCGGTTTGTCAAAACAAAAGCAACGAAGGTACATCTCCACTGTCTTATTCAAGACCTCAATTTGGCCATCGGTTTGGGGATGATAGGAAGAGCTCATAGTTAAGGTTGTAGTTGTTCCCATTTAGCGTTAGCATCAGCCAAGACCTGGGCTGAATGGGCTCGTTGTTTGCAATCACGTAATTCCAAGAGATCCATCATCCGCTTGATTTCTTGACCTTG